GTAGAGATCCATTCCTTGTGATGATGTTTCTTGGGGCCCAGAACCTCTTGACACGTTGAAGTTAATGTTTCTTTGATACCTTTCCAGCTATCCTCCATAGTAGTTTCTTCTTCCTTCAGTAGATCCTGTAAGGCTTGGAACCTGTTGTTGAGAGCTACCTTGAATTCATTGAGTTTGTCAGTATCTCGAAGGAAGGCTGTATTGAACCTTTGTGGTGCTGTTTGTCCAGTTGTCCAGTTCTTCTTTAGCTTCAGTTTCAATTTGGCCACAACCAGGTGATGATCTGAAGCTATGTCCGCTCCTCTCCTGGTTTTCACATCTTCCATTGTCCTTCGGAACTTTTTATTGATGCAAATGTGATCTATATGGTTCTCTGTGGTGTGGTCCGGTGAGATCCACGTAGCTTTGTGTATACGTTTGTGTGGAAATGTTGTACCGCCTATGACCAATTTATTGAATGCACACAGATTTGCAAATCTTTCCCCGTTTTCGTTTCTCTCTCCCAGTCCATGTAGTCCCATGATGTCTTCATATCCGGTGTTGTCCATTCCGACTTTGGCGTTTAGATCTCCCATCAGAATGGTGAGGTCCTTTCTCAGGCACTTCTCTATGATTGATTGCAGCCTCTCATAGAATTGATCCTTAACGTCGTCGTTGCTATCATTGTTGGGTGCATAACATTGGATAATGTTCATTGTGATCCCCTCCTTCTTTGTTTTGAATGATGCTTTGATGATTCTGGATCCGTGAGATTCCCATCCTACAAGTGCATTTCGTGCTACTTTGGATAGCATTAGAGCAACTCCCTGAGTGTGTGGAGCATTTTCCTCTTCGTGACCGGAGCATAGCAGCATCTCTCCCGTATTTAGCCTTTGTTGTCCAGCTTGGGTCCAATGGGTTTCACTGATTCCCAGTAATGCCAAGTTGTATCTCCTCATTTCCGTTGCTATTTGACTGGTCTTCCCGGTCTCCCACATTGTCCGGACGTTCCATGTACCTATAAAAATTGTTGCTCTGGTTGTTAGAAGGGGCATCGGCCTCGTGGCTTCCGAAGGAACTCGGCTTTCACCATGAAGCGTCGTATTACCTCTAACTCCCAGGGCAGAGTTTAAATGGTTTGAGTTATTTTTTCTGGTTAGCGTTTTTTTAGCGAGTTAGGTTTCTACGGGATGGGGACGCTAACCCCATGCCCAACCCTCCTCCTTTACCCGGGCTTGGGACCGGCAGTAACTCTGGAAGAGCTACAGGCGGAGTTAGAGTAGAACATACTCGTAAGTTACTAGTATTTGACCACAGAGGCCTTAGAAATATTGCTCGCATCTGCTGGGATCACCGGGTAAGTAATAGTGAGGTTAGGCATACGGTATTAGGGAATGATGGTAAATCAGTTGATGAGGTTTTGAATTTTCATCGACTGAGATGGTTGGGCCACGTGTTGTGTATGCCTGAACACCGATTACCACGAGGCGCAATGCTAACTGGTGTTAGGGATAATTGGAAGAAAGTTAGGGGCGGCCAAACCAAAACGTGGCATCAGTGCTTGAAGTCACTAACTTGTGGTCTGAGCCATGTTGGAAGATTCAGACTGCCTGGTTGGGGTCGGCGTGACTATCGTAACCAATGGTTGGAGACTCTTGGTGACATGGCTCACAATCGATCACAATGGCGTCGGTGTATGCACCCTCTGTCTTCCCTTAAACGATGAGATTGAAATTGCTTCATATCTTTCTTTCTACGAACTAATTCTTTCTTCCTGCATTGTATCCTTATACACAATCTTTCTTTTATATACTACTACTTTTGATGTGACTACTTCTATGAATCCGGTGTTCATGTTGTTGTGCTAATGCGGTATGGCAACTTGGACCGATGCATATATGTGCCTGGTCCTACGTTGCAGCTGACTGACTGACTCCCAAATTTGTCACACTTTACATACCCGCATTTATATTCGATATCTATTGTTTCTCTTTAACTCCTCCTGAAGACACTCCCGTGGCTACTGCCGGTCCCAAGCTCGGATGAAGGAAAAGGGTTGGGTATGGGGTTATCGACCCCAACCCGTAAAAGAATAAATCGTTAAAAAAACGCTAACCAGAAAAAATAATTCAAACCATTTAAACTCTGCCCTGAGAGTTAGAAGTTCTTCATTTATAAGAGTTATGACACCTCATAGTGAAAGATAATTTCCTTCGGAAGTCACGAGGATGATGGCCCTTCTGAAAACCAGAGCAACGATAAATTTAGGTACATGGAATGTTCAAACAATGTGGGAGAGTCATGTGAATTGCTGCATTATTTCTCTGTATCAATGGTAAAGAAACGGATAGAATTATTTGGTTATGTACACTATACATATTACCGCGATTGTTAAAATATAAACCTCTATTACCGCCGTCTGTTCTTATGCTTTATTGGCTACAGCCTTTGATTGAAGATTATAATAGTGTTATAACATCCTTTTAGGCCTTCTCACACTACATTATATAAACCTATCGGATTTCATCTTTCTCATTACGTTGTTAGTCCCACCACGTGCAGAGGAATCTTTGTTAATTAAGTGAACTCATTTGTGGTCGTTATCCCAGAAAGCAGCTTACAAGTAACATTCTATATTTAATAACAACTGTTATTATTCTATATGTAATTTGTTACTTTTGTAGTGACCTACTTTTATCAACAGAACGCGATTGGTGTAATGGAAACAATTACTATTATAACTAATTGTACCAGTGATTGTTTTAATGTACTTGTTTGTTTAGCCGTACCAAAGACATTCTTTCTTCCGTTTACTGTGACCTTGTACGAACTCGGTCACACTCAGTAATCCCACTTGTATTATGGCACGATCTCGGTATTCTTACGATGCCACGAGATCACCAGCAAATACATCTTGACTACAGTCATCAACTGCCCTCTGATATTCGACCTACGGAAGATCTTATCGGTTAACTGGCACGTAGTTTTCTTGTAGTGGTGATCATAGTCAACCTAGACTCGACACTACACTACACCTTTTGCTTTACTCATAGACAGATATTAAGGGTTGTAGTGTTAAACACTTTTTGGTATATTATCGATTATTTTATATATTGTTACATCTTAAATAATCTCGGATCCATCACAACTCACACTTAATTCTATTAGACATAGCTATCAAATTACAAGGATTCGAACATATCTTAGTTCATTGATGATTCAGTGTCACAATAATTCTATGAACATACTGATGTGAACCTAAAATTTCTTGTCCAACAATTTATCGATTTCACTGGTTGAAATCATGAATCCATTGAAGCTAGACCACCATGGAAAACCTGGAAGCACTGGACGGCCGTTTCATCGATTTCTATTTGGATATTTTCGGTACAACGATATTCATACCATTCACGGATAATACCTTGGTTAACTATAAATAATGATTGACTAATTATTCCTATGGTGTTTTGTGTAGATGGAATTTCATTGATTGTATTGTCATTTTGTATAGTTGGTTTAAGTTTCATCATAATAGTAATAGTAGATAACACTTAAGATATTTTTAAAGATTCCGCAATGGTATTCATCATCATCATCATCATCATCATCATCATCATCATCATCATCATCATCATCATCATCATCATCATCATCATCATCATCATCATCATCATCATCATCATCATCATCATCATCATCATCATCATCATCATCATCATCATCATCATCATCATCATCATCATCATCATCATCATCATCTATCATCATCATCATCATCATCATCATATCATCATCATCTATCATCATCATCATCATCATCATCATCATCATCATCATCATCATCATCATCATCATCATCATCATCATCATCATCATCATCATCATCATCATCATCATCATCATCATCATCATCATCATCATCATCATCATCATCATCATCATCATCATCATCATCATCATCATCATCATCATCATCATCCAAATCATCATCATCATCATCATCATCATCATCATCATACATCATCATCATCATCATCAATCTCATCATCATCATCATCATCATCATCATCATCATCATCATCATCATCATCATCATCATCATCATCATCATCATCATCATCATCATCATCATCATCATCATCATCATCATCATCATCATCATTCATCTAAGAAGGGGCATAAATTACTTATCATTCAACCACACCTATATCTATTCATATATGAGGGAAGAAAACCGAATTCCTTTGATGTGATTAATAAGTTATATAATTTATCGATCAGTTACTTTAAAGAAACCATCAATTTGATGTATCCTCCTTAGTAATAGTAAGTTGTCATACTTACCTAATTAGCTGATAGGTATAAACTCAGCAAGTCTATACTTGATTTATGGTTATGTAAAATAAATGATGGATGACTAAATGGATATACTCTGTTCATAAGTATGTTTGATGTAGGAATTTGGTTTTGGTAACTGTCGGAATCTATTTCTGAACCATTACAATACGTTAAGTAACTAAACTATTCATATTCGTGTTCCTCTTATTATAAGCATCATTTTGACTCATAGACTATTATTATACGGTTTACCCTTGTTAAGATATGCTCAGTCTATTAATTACTACCTCCCACAATCACAGCCACTTTTGGTTAGATCCTGTACAAATGTTGTTTCCTACTTTATGGTACGTTGTGGTGTGCCTTGTTGTTATATAAACCTAGTATGTTTGAAATACATGATTCATATCATGGAGGATGACATTGGTGTTCTGGACTTAACAGGCAGGTCTAGGCAGGAAGAAGGACCGACAAGGACTCTAGACCGTTCGCACTTGTTTTATGCGTCATTGGTCTGGTCGATAAATCACTATTCTGTAATTGGTGGTATCATTACATTAACCTTTAATAGGACACAGGGTCCAAGGTATAACAATAACGAATCAGTTTATTGTAGATTACACATAGTTACAAGTTCTTTTCAATTGATTTATAATAATAAACATGATTGTACAGAACAATGTTCACTGTAAATGAGAAACATGTCATCAATAATGATTGAAGCAAACATTGCAAATGAGATAGAAGTGACAATATCTTAATGAATAATGTGAACTGAAAGACTCATTAGTTGAATAATGTTTGATTGGTTTCATTACACATGATGTATAGAAGAGAGAATATTCGTTGATAACTGTTGATGTTGATAGCTCCATGTACTACGTTTCATAGTTTGTGAAAGTTATCAGTAGTTTCCTTACATACGTGTTAACACATACTATACTTTGCTTACGTTTACTGGTTTATTAAGAAGACATTATTTCTTGATTCGTACTGTGATTATTCATTTACAACTGCTAACGATCCACAGTTGTATTGCTTCCATTCCCCTCTTTCACACATTATTTCAACATTCGTCTGTCTATTTATCAATTAAGCTTTCCAATTAATCTTGATCTTCTCCATGGTCATAGCTACATAGGCAACCGAAATAGTCTGTGGGCCGCAACAATGAATTTCCTCACCACATTGTAATGCTAAGCCACATATCTGAAGAACATGAAGTCATTTCAGGTAATACTAATAAGAAGTGATTAGTAGCTAAATGATTCCATCCCAATTATCACACCTTCCACTACAAAAAAATATTCATCTTAAATGCACAATGTTTATCGCTTTATAAAAGATTTAATTCTATTGTAGTGAACGTGAACAGAAGTAAGGATAACCAAATGTAATTGGACACAAAATTACAGAACATCTTAGTAACATCTGGGTACCATATAATAAATACTTCATTTGCAAATGTTAATCAATCGTCTCTGACTTCACTGTTTCTGCATTTCCACAAAGATCATTCTCTATTCTTATTCTCGTTTATTCGATATTCTTAACCTTCTTTCATCAGGCGTTTCATTTTCGATTGTTGATACATATTACTTATATCTGTTTACATCAGTAGCACACAGCACACTAATAGCTATTCATCGTTGAATTAACTTAAAGTTAATTTAGGATTAGTGATTATAGAGAGTTATAATTCAATCAAATTATATCATCATGAATTACAAACAACTCGTTTTTATCAGACTTTGTTTGCTTCCAGTTCTTAGATGTCTCTTCATCAAGAGTATACATTATCTAGTTGAAATCATGAGTCAATTGAAACAAGACCACCATGAAAAATCTGGAAGCACTGGACGGCCGTTTCGTCCTAATATGGGACTCCTCAGCAGTGCGCACACACGATCCCGCCCCCCCCCCAAGAGATTCAAACCCACGACCTTTCAGTCTCGCGCGCGAGCGCTGCAGTTCATTGAGTTTTATTAAAAATTGATTTTTTTTTGTATGATTACATTGATAGTTTACTAATGCAACAAGCATTCCAACTAATCTATTATCAAATGCTTGTAACTCTTAACACCATCATAATATGCTTGATTAGTTGTCTACTAGATGAAATTAGCTTGATAACAAACATATTCATGACAGTCAATAAATGATTAACCCACAATTAATAGCTGGACAAGTATTCGACATTGATGTTGACCTTATAAATTCTAGTGGACTTAAGTAGGTAAAAGTAAGTATCTACTGAATTTTTTAAACAACCTCACAAAATGTGTCACTTTATTCCTCTGATTACCCCATGTACTAATTATATATTGAACCACTTCTGTATACTATTGAATATAGTTCCATTCGAAGCCATTATTGTCTTCTTTATTCGGTACATATTTAAATTTGCTTGCTTTATTCGACTATTATTCTTAAAAAAACTTTATATTAATATCACGAAGTGATCATCACCAACTGTCTATTTGTGTCAATAAACAGAAATTATTATTAACAAAACAGTTAAAACAGAACTCACTTCGTAGCAAAACGGACATGGTAATTGGAGCTTTTGTCGTACCAACCTCTTAAATGGGAGTAATAATTGAGTATGAATTTAACAAACTTTTATATCTGATTAACATTAAAACAGTATAGTTTTGATTAATTGTGTCCAAACATTTCGGTTCTGATGGAACAGTGAATCTCTCTGCACAAATAAGACTAAAGAATAGTTTACATAGGATTATTGTCAGCAGATATCTTACGCAACGATATATATATATATATATATATATATATATATATATATATATATATATATATATATATATATATATATATATATATATATATATATATAAGTTATATAATATACCCTTGTGAGCCAGGGTAATTTTACATTGGTTTTCAGGAGAACCAGACAGCGTCCATACTTTCACGTGACAACTCAAACAATACAACCCAAGCCCGTTTCACAGAAGAGCCAGACACTGTAAAGGCTTTAGCGCTGCAATCTGAATAGTACAGCTCAATCCTGTGGCGCAACTTCACAGGTACCAAGCACCCTGGTGGACCATGCAATGATTTAGACTGAAATAACAGTTCAATACATGGAGTACCTATCCTGTTTACAACTAAAATTGACATAACCCCTAATAAAACTGTATTACCAAAATGACAATTTGTGGGAATTGTAGTACTTTTATTAGTTGAATTTATGAGTCGATCTAAGATAAACCAACACTGAAAATCTGGAGGCATTGAACGACCATTTTGTCTTAGTATAGGATTTCTAAGCAGTGACGAACCGCGATCCCGCATCTGGGACTCGAACCCAAAATTAAACACTTTTGCTGCTTTTCTATATTGTGTTTGTGAGATGAAAGATAAAGAGTAGATGAGTTATACAAAAAAAGAACGACAGCAAAACATCTAAATCTGGAAGAACACAAGGCAATTAAGCAATTTTCAACTATAATCTCAATTCTACGAACGCATCTGAGACGGAGAAAAAAGTTTCCTTTAGTTAACATCTTAAAACTAGAAATATAGTGCTTTATTCTGCTTCATCATGACTTTAAGGATGAAGTCAATCAGATTTATATCGGATGTCTCAAAATATATTTATATAAACATATAAACATTGGTACAAAGAGGCACAGAATACGTATGTGGACTCTGATACTGCTCAAGTGCCCGCAAGTAGACAATGAATAGAACTTCCTTCACAGTGGTTGTATGCATGTGACCATTTGAGAGCATTTTCAGAGGTAGAACTGACTCTCCTTACTCTCAGTCATCCAAGAGCATTTAGGAGAGGATATCCCGAAAAAGAAAAGAAAAACAAAACACTATAGTAATACTTATAAAATTTCCATCTCTACTTAATATTTACAAAATGTTATGTTTTAGATTAAAGCATTGAATGAAATAATATAATTAACTATCATGAAAATAATAATTAGATCATTTATTTCTTACTGAAGGTTCTCCATATGGTTGACAATTATTTGTGGGTTTAATTACATAAAGCTGTGAATAGATAAATATATAAATTCTATAATCTTTTTATTTAAACAAATAACACATAGTAAGCAAAGATACATAGGTGACTAGCAGGGGAATTTACGACGATTAGAATATTTGTGAATGAACACTATATTGAGACAATATTGCACAGGATGCATTTATATATGCCAATATGAGACTGATCGATTGTAGTCTTAAACAACAATGGAATGATTCAAGTAAACAACAATACCAAGTAAATTTAAATACCAAATAGATTTGACAATTATTACTTACTTACTTACTTACGCCTGTTACTCCCAATGGAGCATAGGCCGCCGACCAGCATTCTTCAACCCACTCTGTCCTGGGCCTTCTTTTCTAGTTCCATTCAATTCTTGTTCATTTTTCTCATGTGTATCTCTATTTACCGGCATAATGTATTCTTTGGTCTTCCTCTCCTCCTTCGACCTTGAGGATTCCATATGAGGGCTTGTCTTGTGACGCAGTTGGGTGTTTTCCTCAATGTGTGTCCTATCCACTTCCAGCGCTTCTTCCTGATTTCTTCCTCCACTGGGATCTGATTTGTTCTCTCCCACAGTAGGTTGTTGCTAACAGTGTCCGGCCAGCGGATCTGAAGTATTTTGCGTAGACAACTGTTAATAAACACCTGTATCTTTTGGACGATGGATTTCGTAGTTTTCCAGGTTTCGGCTTCATACAGTAGAACTGTCTTGACATTTGTATTGAAAATTCTGACTTTGGTGTTGGTTGCTAATTGTTTTGAGTTCCAGATATTCTTCAGTTGTAGATATGCTGCTGTTGCTTTGCCAATCCGTGCCTTCACTTTCACAATTATTATTTCATCAATAATCAATAAAATCATAAATAAATATCGATAATTAAACTTACTGAAATGTAGTCATCATCATACTGAAAAGAACCATAATTTTATACACAGTTGTGTTATAGTTATGTTTTGTATATTTTTCTTTTGTTTAGATCAGATGGTGATTGAAGATAGTCAATAGAAGAACTTAGATCTACGTTTCATACTACTTGGCACTTGTCAGAAAAGTGTACCTGTAATCTTGATGGATTCGATTTTATGTCACCAAGCGTCATAGTCAAAGACGTTACCACTGACCTATCCGGGATTTGATTGACGTTCTATACAACTGGAATATATTTAAAATTGATTAAACATGTTTTCATTCCATCTTATAAAAGAATATTTTATTCTGACTTTTTAAAAATGAAATGGTTATTATTTTCTGAAAAGTGATATAAAACGTAAATATTCTTCAAATGATTACTTTTTCTGAAAACTTTGAACCTAAGTACATCACAAAGTATTAAATTTATAACTTTGAGAATTTCAATCGCTATCAGAAATTATGAAATAATGATGTACTGACATTACGCGGTTTGCAACTCTCATTTTCATAAAAGTCATAAAGATAATCTAGACCCTTGAGCTTTATATCAAAATCTATTTTTTCTGTGGTAAAAATGCAAAATTACAATTTTAATCATACCGCTTTATGCTATTTAGATTCGAATTAATTAGATTACTATGATGAACAGTTTATTTTATTATTTATTCATTTAAACATGTGAATATTGTACAAGGAGGCACCAAATAGATATGTGCCACATAAATCACTCGATTTGTGTGAGGGATGGGATATAGACTGTGTGCCCAAATCAAAGCAGGTGGTTCTGTTAGGTGGCCACATCCGGGGCGTTTGATCTAAAGGTCTGATGCACGAGGCAGTGGAGAAACATCAGGAGATTCAGTCCGATGGTAGTCGATGACCAACAATATGTTCATATGGCATTTGTTCCTTCAAGATCATAGAGCGCATGTGCACGATTGGTTTGCAATCAGGGTTTGGCAACTCCAGTAGATGGACTCTCCGCGTCCACCAATCCGGTTAAAGTGCCGGACATTCGGTTTTCGACCTCTCAATTTCGTAAACAACAGTAATGCCGCGAGAATACAGTGAGTAGAACTTCCCTGGCAGTGGCTGTATATGCGTGGCCATGTGACAGCATTTCGAAAAGGATAACTGACTCCACACTCTCGACCGTACCAATTAATTAACATATGATTACAGACAACAAAACGTTTGTTCGTTATCACATGAGCATTTACCTTTAAAAACAAGTTAAGCAATCACTTATTTCTAAAAATTTTCCAATCACATCCTAAATTTTTCGTCACTGACGTTCAGGAATCTCAATAATCGTTTATTAATTGTCAGTCCTAGAACAAATCCATTTTTCTTATTCATCTTATATAAACCACACTGTGCTTGACGAAATCAATCATATAGAATACACATAACAAACAAATAACCATAGAGATTTCTATGGTAATAAGAATAAAAGAATTTATTACTAATCTTACTGAAAGGGAATCTACATCATACTGAGAAGAAAGTAAACGTAAATAAATTTGACTTCATTAAATATCCAAAACACAATATGCGAAAGAATTCATTGAATTCTCTTGTTATGATGAAACCCTATTAATCTCAGTTTTATTCATTACGTTGTCAGTTGGTAAACCATTGTGCTCACTAGTGACTAGTTTCGTCAGGGAATTCTCGGAATTCCAGTGAGAAACCGGGACCAGTTGAACTAATCCATGTCAAGTACAGACAGGCATATACCTCAGTACAATGGATTGATTAAGGTTAAACATTAACACTGTTGGATGCTGGCTCAGTAGTCCAGAGGTTAAGCATTCGTGCAAAGACCGAAGGTCCTGAGTCCGAATCCCTCTCACGGGATCCTGGATGCGAACTGCTGAGCAGTCTCATAATAGAACGAAACGGCTGTCCAGTGTTTCCAGGTTTTCAATGGTGGTCTAACATTCATCGACTCATGGTATCAATCAAAAACTTAGTAACTTCCACAACCACTTACTGATAAAGCAATGAAACTCATGGAACTCGAAACAAGTATGACTTCCTAAAGTGTGATTCCATGAATATGTTTTTGGTGGAACTCAGCAACGTATTAACAACAGTGTCGCAAAGTGAACACGTTGTCTAATAATGTCACTTCAATATTCCAGCCACTGACAACTCTAAGTGTCAACTGGAGGTTAGCTTATTTAGTTGAGCTGTTGTGATGACTGAGAGATATTGCATTTTGTGACACAATATTGATATGAAGTGTACAACCATATTCAAAAATATAACTTGCTACTTAAGATAATAAGGCGACTAATATTACAAATGTTTTTTGTTATAGAGCTTCCGTCGGAGATAGCATCTATTTGATTTTTTAAGCGCTGACAATTCCGATTCGACTATAAACTCTTGGAGCTTCATTTTGTCTACTTCAATATTGTCTGACACAGTGGAATACGAATCGATTACCGGAATCATTTTGTCACAAACCGATACTAATTAGTGAGATGAATATTTCACAGTTACACTACATTAATTGTCTTCTGAGTTGATAGACAATGGACTGACGATAGTTTACTGGAATCCTGTAGTTAGTTATCAAAATATTTTGAAATATAGTTTTCCCTAACAGGCAGTATAGAAACAATCATGCAGTAACTCACATTCGATTTATTACACTAAAAGCATATCATAAGTACAAATGTTAGAAACTAGATTTGAATGTGCAGAATAATATATGAAATACATTTCATTTGATTAGTTTATTATGATGAAATGCTAATAGCGTAGGTATTGAACACTATACTAAACTAGGATTGTCAGTAATATTAACTGTAACTGATGAAATATAAACGTTCCAACATTTCTGAAATGCACTTTACCAGTGGCAAATGAATTGGTGCATGGAGAAAAGAGATCTTGCACATATGTGATTTAAGTATAGTGAATATGAACACAACAGAACTCAAGTCTAATTATACCCGTAGATAACTGATTATTCTTCGGATACTAAGCAATACATATTGTGGTTTTTATTTAAATTTCAAGCATGAAGTTCCTAGATATGTTTGTAGAGATAAATAAATCCTCAAAATAAATAATTTTGTAAGTCCTGGACATCGGTGCTAACTTCATTAGTTTTCCTGACCGTACCTTAGGTAAAGGCACTCGGTCACATATCAATACCAGATCACGAGTGGGTACTCCATGCTACCCATCCTTAACAACAATCAGCCAAATCTAATCAATCGCTTTTCATCATATTAACTGTTTTCCAAATATAGCTTTGAACTACTTCATTCCTGACATCTGATTGGACTAGATCCATAATTTTTAATCATAACGGTGTTACGAACAAAAGTAATGTCAAATCGTGAATACACATGAGATCTTAAATTTTAGCCATACCAAGATATGTGATTAACTGGTGAAATGTACTTAAGGATAGTTCTACAGTTTTTTCCAACCAGTAAACAGTTCACCTTAACAAGTTCAATTACACTAAGATAATATATTTCTTTAACATCTTAAACATCATTATTTGTAAGATGATACACGGTTGCGAGCAGTTTCGTAAGGATTCTTATACGGCCTTCTTCTTCTTGATGTGAATTAGTTCACAAACGCGAACAAGTTGGAAGATGCACCGGCATTCGGTAGCTTCCGGAAGCTTTCTCAATTCATCCAAGTCATTGGCGGCAAGAAGTCTGGTGTGAGTGGAACAATGCATGACGCTGTCGTAAAGCCAAGCAATAGCATCTGTGAACGTTGTTGAAAAGCAACAAAGTTCTTTGAGGAACAATTCAGCTAGTCTGCTACTTCAGTGACATCGATCAAACTGTTCCATCCTCCCAGGTCAGAGTGGACTGATTCATCTAATGAGGCGGAAGTTTACAAGAAACTTTAACTCTTGAAGCCTCACAAATCAGCAGACCTAAATAACTTACCTCCGGTCATTTTAAAAAATGATTGCAACTTTCTGGTTATGAAACTGATTAAGTTATCTGCAAATATCTGGAAATTGGAGAATAACCCATCATTTTGAAGCGACGTGATAGTTCTTCCTATCTTTAATAAAGGGTTAACGTCATCTGTGCAACAACAATCGAGGGATAATCATGAACGTTATTAAGATTTGTGTTGCCTTTAAATGAAGATTAATCAGTACTGATATGTGTTCGAAATGAGCTGTATTAGTCATTTGTGCATTAGAGGGTGAATATATTTGGCAATGCTACTGGGTTATACTGGATGTGAATAAAATGACTGCGGATATGCATCACATTTAGGAAATATAGTACAATTCTTTCCATTTGACCAAATCAAGAGCAGTGAACATGGCAGGATAACATAAATGTATTTTACTTTATAGTTTCTCATCAGCTGCTTAAAACCTAAATATAGTAATACTGTATTTTCATCATACTTATTATTCTTCTAATGAATCCCTACTGATAAGAACTTTTGCGATGTTATAATGTGATGATATAAATTATGTACAGTTATTTTTTAATGTTTGATACCATTATGTTTAAGTTATAAGCAGCTGATAAATAACCACGACAGGAAATGTATTCTGTTACGTTCACTGTACTTTCTTTACTTATGTTTATGAAATAATTATAACATCACCTAAATCCAAGGAAACTATTTGCTCTACACAGAAAAAGAATATTTACAAATTATCATATATCAATAGAAATCGATGGAGAGAAGAAACCAGATTCCAGCGGTGGGAATCAAGAGGAAGCACTGGAGGTGGATAGGGCACATATTGAGGTAAGAATCTAAATGCGACACAAGGAAAGCTGTCACCTGGAACCCTCAAGGCTAAAGGACAAGAGGAAGACAACAGAACACATTACACCGAGAAACGGTGACAGACATGAGACGAATGAACAACAATCGGGTAGAAGTAGAAAGGAAGGCTCAGGACAGAGTGGGTTGGAAATACTGATCGTTGGACTATGCTCCATTAGGAGTAAGAGCAGTAAGTAAGTGAATAAAAATTGACAATTTTAACAGATTTCATTTGAATAAATTCATTCCTGTATTTCTAAACTCATTGTTCAACGATATACCATCAAAAAAACAATCTGAAAAGTACTTACGTAGGTGATTAGACCATCACCCTAAAAATGTAATAATACATCAGGGTTGACAACAACATGTAAGTGAATGTGCTCTCAATAATCAAAATCTGATCACCTCTTTTATTATTTCCATGATGAATACTAAGCTTAAATCCAAATATCTTATATGGATGATAATGTCAAATAAAAATGTCTTATATTATCCACAAATGAAAGTTATTCAAATGTGAAAAATAAATCAATATTGGAAAGTAACCCTATCATTGACAGCTACCACGTCGTCTCTGATTGTGCATTTTTGTAAGTTGTACAGTGAAAGTTCATAAAACTTTTCATAAACGCACCTGAATAGATTATGCGATTAAAAGGCATAATGATGTATTAAAACAAACAAGGAAACAGATAACTTATTGAAATATTCAGATGGTAGGAACAGGTAGCCTAGATATTCAAATAGGCACCCAACATAAATAGGTTTATTAACAAGACATCATTTGATCATAATCATTTCTTCAAATAAATTATAACAGCTCACGTGCATTTGGGTTTGTTCACATTGAATTCGGTTAAATCATTTTATTAATTTATTAACGAACTGAGTCATCCGTACAGCAACAACTTATCTATATCACTTTATCTATATTATTGTTGTAAATGTATGGACATGTATGCTTGAGCATGGCTTACTGCCTGCTTGAATATCTGGGCTACCTATTCTTCCCATTTAGATATTTCGTCAAGTTATCTGTTTTCTTGTTTGTTTTAACACACTATTATGTCTATTGAGCTCACAACCTTTTCAGGCGCGTTTACGAAAAGTTTACAATGTTTCGCTGTACGGATTACAAAAAGGTACAACCAGCAACATCATGGTGGCTTGCAATGTGCATTGAAACGAATGAACATTATTCAGATGTCGATTATCGAACTCCCAACATCTAACTGGCCATCACTCAATATATGCATCGTCAGGATCGATCAAGATATAAGAAAAGGAAACTTGTTGAAATACTTTATGCTGAGAATTCAATAGTTTACCACAAATATGATGTTAAATAAAGCTTATAATGGTAGGACTGTAATTTATGGACGAGCCAATCAGAGGCGTCTGAAGAAGTTCAAGGTCACGGCGCTAAGTTCGATTCGATATGCTCACATTCGATTGTTTTACAGCAGATTTCAGAGAAGAGGTATATATATGCGCAATGAAAATGACACAAGTACATGAATCGTTTGGGGGAGTTGGAAAGATAGTGGAAATAGATGAGACAGTAATTAGAAAGCGAAAATACAACAAAGGACGTTTTATCAATGAAGATTGGGTAAGTAGCACTTCCGTCAATATACTTGACAGGTACTTGGATTTTATGATCGTCCAACTCAAAAGGGACATTTCCAAAGAGTGAGAAACCGTAAAGCTACGACAATAATACCAATCATCAAGGAGTACGTTCAAAGGTCGTCCATTAAATAGAGTTTCACCCATTTCACTATGTATATATATGTCCATGTTATTCATATTCATATTGATTGCTCACGCTTTCGCTTTCTGGATCTCTCACTCTCTTGTTCTGGCTCTCTTGCCTTTGCTCTCTCTCTCTCTCTCTCTCTCCGCGTGCCTGTTTGCTTTTCGGCACAACTCTTTCATGCTAGCTTAACGCATCTGTAATTTTGGCTTTCTGTGTGTGCTCCCATAATAAACGTAATCAACACTTCGTTTTTGCCTTCTGATTAATATACCTTTGGAGCGTTATCTAGTGACGGTTATCAAGACGAACTTTATACGGAGTTTAAGGAATACATCCAAAACCGACCGCCACAAAATATTACCCGAAAAATATTTTATTTTTAATTGTTCGTATAGAAACAAAAATTTATTCACTTACATATTTAATGGGATATGTACACTAAGTTATAGTTTGCATAAAGAGATTTCAGTTAATCATATATTGAAAATGAAATATGATTCAGTTGTGAAGGATCCAAGATGGAAGTAATTTGAATCTGTGATCATGGTGAAACACGAATATTACACTATTTCCTTCTATGTTATGAATTGAAGAATAAAGGTAACGAAATCGCTTAATATATATAAAACAGGCGTTTTCTTCAGCAATGTGTTCTTGAAAAACTCCAAATTAGATGGAGAATAGTAGTGCATGAGATCTTTGGCAACCATCATTTCAAAAATAAAACGAAAAGACTTTTCCAACTAAAAAGAAAGGCTGATAGCTGAGGTTACTCATATGTTGTTAAGTCGTACTATTCTCACTAGAATAGATGGCATTACAGTTCATCCGACTTAAACCATCTCTCCGAGTTACCATATGTGATTCTATGTACATACCTATCACAGTATTATCATATCCTCAACTTCAACTTTATCTTTTCACACTCATTAACGCACACATAAATATAAAAGGAAGTCTCTTCATTTTGACCGGAGTGACATGGCATTGACTTGGTTAGACTTGTTTTTTGGTTTCTTCATTCCTTTATACCATTTAGACCTCATTTGTTTATTTCTTCTCTGAAGAAACGGCTTACACAGTCACGAAAAGTCAGGAAATTTCAATTTTTTTAATTTCATTGGTATATGACAAATACATTATTTTCTTATTGATAACAATCGTACCCATTGCACACTTCATTTGAAAGTTACAGGTCAACCCTTGGTCATGATGATATCTAGATTTGCTTGTCCTGTTAATTCATTTATCATAAATGGTTGTTAACTGACGTATAGTGAAAAAGTGGGGAAACACTGGGATGTTGTGTCATTCAGATAAGTTGCTGAATTCCATTAGGAAGTTATAATCAAGTCTTTTCTATCAATCTGTGTACAAGGTAAATTTAAAACACTGATATTATATCAGAAGGGATTTTTGTGGATATTATAATAATTTCAATAGTTGAGATCGTGAATCAATTGTGAGATAGTAAGTCACTGATGACAATAATGGATGTGTCGCTCAATTTCGTAGATTAGTTGAAGCTGGACAATGCAGACCATTTGATGCCGGCTCAGTGGTCTAGTGGTGAAGCGCTCATGCACGATACTTATAAGTCCCGGGTTCGGATCTCGCAAGACAGGGTCATGGATGCGCACTTCTGAGGAGTCCCACAGGAGGACGAAACGACCATCCTATTGCTTCCAAACTTTCCATGGTGGTCTAGCTTTAATTGAATCATGATCTCAACTATTAAAATGACTGAAATCATATTTATTTTTAATATATGGTGCATCATAATTCCATATTTTGGGAATACTGAACTATACATATGATATAATTGTTCTATAGTTTATCTATCATAATCTCATTATAAATATTGTTGTATCAACTTACCAAGTAATGTTTTTCTCCTTTCTGGATATAACGTCATGGTTAACACATCTTTCTCTCTGAATGAATTATGTAAATGAAATCTTATTGTTTATAGTGATACATTGTGTATAAGGAAACAATGGTAACTTTGACATTATCCTTTCTTATTTTCACCGATAAGTTGGGGCACATCTAGTTTATTTAGTATACAATAGAACAATCTATTCGTCAAGTAATAATTGAAGTAAATTCCATAATTCTGAGTTTGATTTGTCACAGTAATCAGTATAGATGGCTTGTGATGAATGTCGAATTGTATTAAGATCATGAACTGACCTTAGTTATACAACATGGTTTGACAAGTAGTTATCAGATTGATGTATTGCGGTAAATGGAAGAACACCGGGGCAACTTTAGTATTTAACTATGTAACGTTACTTAATAAAACTTGATCTCATGAAACTCACAAGGTACGGCCCACTGTTAACATCACATCCATCGGTGAACACGTTACATTTCGAATATTGATAATCCTCTACTTAATTACATTTTCAATTGCAAATTCGTAGAGAACTTAGTAGTTTTATGTTGCCTGATTTAGATTAACAATGTGTTTTTTTTTCTGAGGAAAACCATAGCGAATGGGGTTACAGATTGTAACATCATGCATTAAGTGTCCGATACATTTGAACATTGAATGAATAAAATTGATAAATATCTTATGTTTGAATCTCGCGAGATGGGATCGCGGATGTACACCACTGAGAATTCCCACAATAAGACGAAACGGTCGTCTAGTGCTTCCTGATTTTCCATGGTGTTCTAACTTTAATTGATTCTTGATCTCAACTATTAAAATATCTTATGTCTTTTAAACAAAAATATCAAATTCACTTTAAAATTTATCTTAGAGGACTAACTATACAATAACTTACCATTTGAGTACGATCACACTACATTGTAATACCCATACAAATAATTCCATTAGTTATATATTCCAAACGAAAATGGAAAACAACGCAAGACAAAATTAATGTGATTCATTAAGTATGATAAAACTCTAAAACTGTGCTTCCTCTTCCCGCATTAATGGTAATGACTTAGTTCTGTACATGTAAGTCAAGCATTGTTTGCATCAGTCTTAAGAAAGATTCGGTTCTTATGGAATGATTTTCTACAAATCAATATAAACTGTTGAAATACAAAAATAAAAAATGCGAAGTATTGCCAGCTGGGAACGTTGATAAATACAATCAGTGAGACTATAATTTACGGAGACCTTTGAGCGATACTAAAGTGACCTTGAAAATGTACAACTCATAATGAGGACTAAATGAGGGTTAGGAATTAGATTTCGAAATTTCATCATGAACTGATATCAGCTATAATGTCAAAACGCTATTTGGCCAAGCAGATAAATGTATTTCACAGCAAAACCCCAAAATCGTTATCTTGTATCTGATTGGTTCTTCCATAAATTATAGTCTCACCGTACAATCGTCTACTTAAACCCCATTTTGTATTTATCTGTGAACCCATTAACTTTAAAACACTTTTACAATACTCATTTTCAGCCCATGCTGGGTAATCAATTTGAATTTTGGAAAGTGAGTATATTCAACGACATCGTTTGTATTTCAGTTAGTTTAACCTTGTCTTCATAATCTCATATAATGTTAATTATTGTATCCAACTATATCCGATTGTGAAAATGTTATCATAACTTACTTCATTAAAATCTTTGGTAAACTATAAAATAAATATATGCCATTACATCCTCGTTATTTAGATATTTAAAACGAGATTTTAGCACATATCTAGTGATAATGCGATTTGAGCTACTACTGTGGTATGTGCTACTTATGTTGACATAAGTAGTAGTATATAGGATGTCTGGCAAAAGAAGGTTGAGAAGATCGAGAAGGAAAGAACGGAAATAGAAAGCAATTGGTGTGGAAATGTAAGAACAGAAAAGTCTAAGACAATTAATGAACGTTTTGCGAATGAACTGTTGGAGTATGGTTTTTCTATTTTATCATGTAACTCTATAATTTTGTGCTTAAAATGATCAGTTGTCCCCACCTGTATTCCCACTTACCATATCATTACTACATATATCCTAATGCATACATTAGTTCATATTCAAACTGATCTAGAAGCCATAAATGACTGTGTCAATTAGAAAAACAGTAATCGGTTGAACTTAGGCTTGGGATTTCATCTCATTGGTCTAGAGGTTAACCGTTCGGACGCAAGATCGATCGGTCCTGGGTCCGACTCCTGCGAGCAGGATCGTGGATGTGCACTGCTGGAGTATGGTTTTTCTATTTTTCCAAGGAATTCTGTAATTTTTAGCTTAATTTAATTGATTGTCCTCACTTGTATTCTCCTTCACTACACCAAGATACTTTTTTCTATTTATTGTAAATTTCGAGACTATTTTCGTTCACCTTTTTGCGTGGTAGCAAAATAGGGATGATAGAATTAAGTCACATGTACAATCAAAAGAAATTTCATTTGTTCACGGTTTTATTTATTTTTGATTGAGATCATGAACTGATTGATGTTAGATCACCATTGAAAACCTGGAAGCACTGGACGGCCGTTTCGTCCTATTGTGGGACTCCTCAACAGTGTGCATCCACGATCCCGCTCCTCACGGGATTCGAACCCACGGCCTTCAGTCTCGCACGCAAACGCTCAATCTATTTCCTAGTTGGATATTTTGATTCATACAATAATCAATGAATTGATTATTTCTCATCATTCACTTACACATGAGCACAATTCCTTCGTTTCATTAAACACAAACCAAGTTATATTTAGCTGAAAGAGATTATTGAATAGAAGTAGAAGGCTGAGAATCCACTTACTCAATTCAATTTACAAAATTATTAACAAATAGAAAAACATACATGTCCCCTTGAATTAAGAATGAACGAATGGATGTCTTCCTAAGAAACAACGAAAAGTATCAAAATGACATATAAATTGAAGAATTGAGTATTCGGGATTAGAAATTTGATGAATCGCTTGTCGAGATATCAACAAAATGTATATGATATACAGATGTGACAATCATCACAGTTATATAATACTTGATCGATAGGATTAGTTCAGCGCTAAGAAGAACTTGACATTAGTCACCACCCCGTAATCAATCAATTGTAAATACATCTCAATGCTACAAGGAGGTCAGCCACAGCTCGGATAACTCAGTAGTAACGTCTCTGATTGTGAAGCTAGGTGACACGGGATCTAACCCAGCGGAGAACATCAATTCCCTCAACATTACAGGTACAACTTGGTGATGAGAGCCAAAAAGTATGTACCCAGTTCCAAAGTTTCCTGTCGACTACCTCCAACCAACATCTTAATGTGTTGTACTGTTTATTTCAATAACTCAAATTGAAATATTGGAACATTGATTCTTTCATTGAACTATAACTTACACTCCATCTCCCACTTCCTATAGATAACGGTGAAGTAATTTGATCAAATTAATCATTGTAACATATGCAGTATTGACAAGGTAGAAGAAAACAATCAAAGTTTAGCACACTTCATAAAACATGACAATCTGTCGTTTCGAATCAGTGATACAGTGGAACCAGATTAATGATCGAGAAATCAAGGTACCTTAAGATTTCCTTTTCAATTCAGCGACAATTAGCACATTAAGAAAGTCTAAAATCTATCAGTAGCAAATCAACAAAATAGGCTTGTATATCGATAACGTCTATGTACACCATGATAGAGAATATAGAAATCGATGTTACATGTCTTGGTTTAAATATGCGGTTTGATTGTATGAGCTGTTTCAGAAACAGTACAGATCAATGTTGATATTCCAGAGAATACATCTTAAAGGAATCGAACACTTGGAGATAATTGGATCCAACCAATAAACGCGATTGATCTATACTCGACTAATGAAATGAGGAAAACATCGATCCCATGTAAGCAATGTACTTGCTGACAGTTTTACAGCTAATCGACATAATGGCGTTTGTGTGAATAATGTTTTGGTCTATGGTAAATTGGATTTGAATCATTGAATTCATGAGTTGATCAAGGCTATATGATCATGAGATGGTTAATGCTGACAAGTTCTATACTACAATCATAATGCTCATCTAATCCTTTCAAATTTCACATTATTTATATTGTACATAATCGTTGTACTTACCATCAATTCTAAAGATGATAAGAAATAGAGACCAGAAAATAAGGGTAATACATGGCAATATAGATAATTGATATGAAGTCAATATTAAATCATTGTTAGCCATTGTGTATGTATCAATTTCCAATGGAACTGATTACAATCACCTTTAGAATAAAACATAATGTAAATCACAAGTTTATATATGTGGATATGCTTGACCCATTGAGATGACATTTATGAATGAGTCTACACATATTACAATAGACGATCTGTAACATGATCAAACATTCCGCAATTGTATTCATCATCATCATCATCATTTATCTAAGGGGAAGCGCATAAATTACTTATCATTCAACCACACCTATATTCATTCATATATGAGGGGAGACAACCGAATTCCTTTGATGTGATTAATCAGTTACACAATTTATCGATCAGTTTCTTTAAAGCAACCATCAATTTGATTTATCCTCCTTATTAATAGTAAGTTGTCATACTTACCTAATTAGGTGATAGGTATAAACTCAGCAAGTCTATACTTGATTTATGGTTATGTAAAATAAATGATGGATGACTAAATGGATATACTCTGTTCATAAGTATGTCTGAAGTGAGAAGTTGTTTTCGGTAAAGTTTATAACGAATCTGTTTATTGTAAAGTACATACATCACAGTAGATCGAAAGAGAACAGATTCGTTGATAAGTGTTGATGTTGAAAGCTTCATGTGTTTAGTTTCATAGTGTAAGTATAAGTTGTCAGTAGTTTGGTTCCTTGAATATAAATGAAATTAGTCATTTGTAAGTGACATTCGTGTTAACATACACTGTACTTTTGTTGAAGATGTTAGATGCTCAGAACTCACTTGGTAAATGCCTAAATTTTGTAATTTTATTTAGGAAATTTGAATTTTCTTGTTTTCGTGCCAAAAACTCACTTTTCACCTTCATATCGTATTTCCCACTTGGAAGAATGTTTAACGCTATTGGTCCGTTGTGTATTTTTGTATGCTGTTTTTGCAACGCTTCCCAAGGACAGTTTTAGGCAGTATATATACACGTTTGATTTGTGTCTGTTTGCAGAATATACTTCCCCACTCCAAGCTTGGACTTCTTCCTCTAGTTAGCGTGGCTGGAACGCATCAAATAGCTTGCTTACTGGTCTGTAGTCACCGAGTCTTGTTCTCATATGCAGATTAAGTGAACTCATGATAGCTTCAAACCTAGAAACTTTGCTTACGTCTTCTTGGTATTACAATTACATTATTGTTCACGAATAACATAGTCGAACTCCACCTGAAGTTCAAGGAATGCAACATTGAAAAGATGTCGATAACTATGTGTTCCACAACTTGATGAGGGGTGAATATATGACCTATATGTCCACATCCATGTTTGAAACTAAAGTAGTTTATTTCCGGTTCGATCTTTACTTGCTTATATTAAGCGTCTGAATATTATTGGGGCTGATATTTTAGATGCTATATTAGTTAAACGTATTCTTTTGTAATTGTAAAGGTTGAAATTTCATCCTTTCTTATAAACTTGGATGATCTTTGATTGAGGTCAGTTTGATGGAGTGTGTTCTTCCTACGATCTCACTTCATCTAGCTACTGAAACTAAACCACTATTGATTAATATTTCTAAGGTTGACCAAGTGGAACCTCCTGCGCTCTGTCACCTTGAAATGAGCTCTTGCATTTGTTGTCTGTGTATCATTCACTTACTGACATTGTTCTCCTTCTCCGTTGTTTAAAATTATACCGTTTTTATTTCTAGTTATTATAGCTTCAATTTAGTTATGTCAAACTCATTTCTGTGAACTGATTTCTCTCCGATCTAAAATAACGAGGAACCGTCATTTAAATAATAATGATAAAAATTGTTTCAAGGATTGACGTACTAAAATGCTGAAAACCGATTGATTCTAAATGAAAAAGAATTTTGTATAGATTAAAACTAGATGGTAAATAGTTCCAACGTTTATCCATAGCTATTTCAAGACATTCTGAGTAGTTACAGTCTGTAAAACTTCTTTTTCTATATTCTCCTTGATCATCAGAATTGCTTACAGATGACGGTGTTAATCCTATACAATGGGACTACAAAATGTCAATCAATGGTCTCAGACTTCACTGTTCCTTCGCTTTCACACCAATCGTTCTCTGTTCTCATTCTCTTCTCTTCGAACTTCTTGATATTCTGCCTCCAGGTATCAAACTTTTGATTGTTGATACATGCTACTTATATCTGTCGACATCAGTAGCATACACCACAATATGATCATATACGTTTAATGGGTTCAGTTAGCAAAAGTACTCAATCCTGGATTATCTTTACTACCTATTTTGAATATCTAATTCATCTTTTCACCGAATCAACTCAATGCTTGTTCGTAAGATTTAAACCAATTAAAAGGCAAGCTTCTAAGTATCTGGCTCATGATACTTATCAATTTACTGACGGTATTAGAAAATTACTTACCTGATGTTAGTCCTCGGTTCGCCAGTGTACCATTAACAGAAACTTTACATTACATTTAATAATCATATCTATATGTATACTGAAAATATTAATACTTAAAATGACAGTTTACAGGCATAATCAGCTTGATATAGATTAGCGTTTTTTAGTGAGTTAGTTTTCTACAGAATAGGATCGCTTACACCATGCCTAACACTCCTCCTTTGTCCGGGCTTGAGACTGGCAATAGCCCCAGGAGGGCTCCAAGCGGAGTTCGCTTGATATAGATAGTAAAATTAAAGGTGGATGAAATATGGGTTGTTCGATTGTTTGAAGTGTTCTAGTTCAAAAGTTAGGTTGATCATTCATTCATTCATTCATCACATAATTTACTGCAATGAAAAGTTTCAGATAGGAAATTTTGAATCTTTTTCAAATGGATGTCTTATCGATAGGTTAGGTTCTACATGTGCTTTGAAATGTGATTTAAAATAATTATAAACAGTAAATTGTTTAAGATTGTAATTAACAAACATATTTCTGGAGACACTGGACAACCATTTCGTCCTAGCATGAGACTTCTCAGAAGTGCGCATCCATGACTGCCTTCTAGAGGAATTTCCTGGGATTCTAGTGAAAAGCCATGATTATTGGAGTGCAATCCATGTCGAGTAGAGACAGCTATCTACTTCAGACAATGTATGGTTGCGCAAGATCATGGATCGATTGAAGTTAGACATTGACACCGTTGGATGTTGGCTCAATGGTCTAGAGGCTAGGCTTTCACATGAGAGACCGATAGGTCCTAGGTGTAGATCCCTCGTGTCAGATTGTGCATGCGCACTGCTCCAGGGTCCTATACTAGAAAGAAACGGCTATCCGGTGCTCCCAGGTTTTCCATGGTGGTCCAGCTTTAATTAACTCATGAACTCAACTATTAAATCACTATAATCTAAAAAAAAACCCCTTCTGATAATAAACATATTTCTGTTGACCAAAATTGTTTGTAGAAATGTTAATGATTATATCATCTCTTCATCTGTATAGTATTGAATTCACTATTGTGAAGTGAGAATGGTACAAAGTTTTGTTAAAATAAAGTATATCACATTCAAATAGAGTGTATGTATGTGATCGACGATCACCTAAGCAAAAAGAGAGAAGATGAATCAAAGTCTCATATGATAGAAGAATAAGTATTTCTGATGTCGATCCATAGAAGTTTCTGCTTCAGCGATGAATGAATACTGTAACAACTTATCATTCAGTTTTAAATGATTGTTATAGTTTTGTTTCATTCTTCATCTATTAATTAGAAAATCTGATACTACCTATTCGACTTCTTTTTGCCTTGTTTTTTTTTATTATTACGTCTTGTGCATTTTGGTTTATGATACACTAATGACGATTTCAATTGATATTTTCGTTTGATGTTATTCAGGAGATTTTCTATGTGTGTTGGATAGTGTTCAGTGTTTGTAGACCTTCTGCTGGATACTGTGTACTTAGGTTTTGTTTTACTTGGTACAAGTTAATAAGGTGTTTTGTCAATCTTGAAGAAACTGTTACTGCTTGCGTGATCCCATCGCATATCATATAGCTTTGTAGTATGAAAAATAACTGCTACGTTACTCTAACCATAACTAACCTCTTGTTGGACGGAGTTATCCATATTTGTCAAACAAAATACAGTTATCGATGTCATATTTGTCTAGTATTTGATTAGTTATAGAATTCTGTCAATCAAGTATTTGAGCTAAACTAAATTAAATTTGTCGAGTCTTTTAACTCATCGGGTTGATTAAATCAAGTAAACCCTAATCATCAGCTTCGATTCATTGTATAATACATTGTTCTCAGTTGAATGGGAATCAACCAACTTTTTTTGGCTAATCATGAATAAAGTATGTGGAGAATAATAGGCGATCATCACGGTCACAGTTTCAATGTCTGAGAGATAGGTGTTTACTTTCCCAGTTGTGGGCGTAAACATGTTTTGAGTTGATAACACCATTACTTCAATGTACATTTGTGTTTCATAACATACAATAACACTATCCCTTTGTATTAAATATTAATTCGAAAATTCATGCTACTGATTACTCGTCAGTAGTGTGTTCAGTTAATAAAAAGTATCGCAGTTTTTATTCATGAAACTAGGGTCATTTTATAATACTTGCTGTTATAGTACTTGCTGTTAAACCCACTCAAATACCTGTTGAATGGTTTCAGTTGATAAGTTATGAAAGTTTACAGTCTCTTCACGTGTTTCCAGTTCAAGACTTGTGAATTCCAAGTATTATTATAGTATGTTTTATGCAGTTGTTGTATGCACAGAAGAAACAGTTTGCCTAATATATGATCTAAAATATTAGCCCCAATAATATTCAGACGCATAATAAAACCAAGTAAAGATTGAACCCATAAACCTACTCTAGTTTCAAATATGGATGTGGATATATATGTCATGAAGTTGTGGAACACATAGTTTTCAAAGTCCAATCATTGTTTCATTCTTAGACCTTAAGTCGAACTTCAACTATGTTAATCGTGAAGAATAATGTAATCCTAACACCAAGAAGACGTAAGCGAAATTTCTAAGTTTGAAGCTATCACGAGTTCACTTAATCTGCGTATGAGAACAAGACTCGGTGACTAC